GAAAACATGAGGAAATGAGCGATAGCAAGCAATAGCATTGTGTAGAAGATAATGCAGGGAAAGCTTATGTAGAGTTATGGACAAGAGCAAGAAATCAAGTGATGAAAAATTGGTTAGTATGTACAACAAATTGATTGATTTAATGACGGAGAAGTGAGTGATGAAGCACAATAATTGGCAGAGGAGCGCATTCAGCCTCACAATGAAAAAAAAGTGTTTCTAAAGATTATTCACCGTTCATTGACAAGTGTATATTGCCACTTAGACACAGTGAACTGCACAAACTATTATGACTCAGATAAATAAATTTATTACAAAAGGTTTCAACAAAACGTCAGCCGTAAAATAGAACTGCCACTGTCATGGCGTGAATACCCCCGTATACCACTTTGTCAGAATCAACAGTGGCCATTTAGAGCTCAAGGGCAACTTCCCTGCCAAATCTGAGGTTACTAAGCCAGTGCATTGCTAAGTTATGTATTCTACATGCTTAAAATGTGAAAATGTCAAAATCAATACACTGCGGACAGGCATTCTTAAGCAATTGAGGGGACAAACATTTTCCTTGTCAAGGTCCCTGTGACTTTTGACCCAGTGACCTCAAAATCTACAGGGGTCACCTTATGGTCATGATCAACCTCCATGCCAAATATGAAGACTGTGGGTCAAAGGAATTTAAAGTTAATGGGCCGTCAAACTTTTTTAGTCAAGGCCCCTGTGACCCTGACCTTTGACCCGGTGTCCTAGAAATCAATAGGGGTCAACTACTAATCATGACTAGCCACCACCAAATATGAAGACCTGGGGTTAAAGGAATCCTAAGTTATTGGGCGGACAAACTTTTTTAGTCAAGGCCCCTGTGACCTTGACCTTTGACCCGGTGTCATAAAAATCAATAGGGGTCACCTACTAATCATTACTAACCTCCACCAAATATGAAGACTTTGGGTTAAAGGAATCTTAAGTTATTGGGCGGACAAGCTTTTTGAAGTCAATGCTCCTGTGACCTTGATCTTTAACCCAGTGACCTCAAAATTAATTAGGGTCATCTACTAATCATGACTAACCTCCATGCTAAATATGAAGACTGTGGGTCAAAGTAATCTAAAGTTATTGGGCGGACAAGCTTTTTGAAGTCAAGGCATCTGTGACCTTTGACCCGGTGACCTCAAAATCAAAAGGGGTCATTTACTAATCATGACTAACCTCCATGCCAAATATGAAGACTGTGGGTCAAAGAAATATTTAGTTATACGGCGGACAATCTTTTTGAAGTCAAGGCCCCTGTGACCTTGGCCTTTGACCCGGTGACCTCAAAATCAATAGGTGTCATCTACTAATCATGACTAACCTCCATGCCAAATATTAACACTGTGGGTCAAAGGAATGTTAAGTTATTGGGCAGACAAGCTTTTTGAAGTCAACGCCCCTGTGACCTTGACCTTTGACCCGGTGACCTCAAAATCAAAAGGTGTCATCTACTTATCATGACTAACTTCATGCCAAATATGAAGACTGTGGATCAAATTAATCTTAAGATATTGGGTGGACAAGCTTTTTGAAGTCAATGCCCCTGTGATCTTGACCTTTGACCCGGTGACCTCAAAATCAATAGGGGTCATCTACTAATCATGACTAACCTCCACGCCAAATATGAAGACTGTGGGTCAAAGGAATCTTAAGTTATTGGGCGGACAATAAAAAACAGACGGACAGCCGGACGGCCGGACGTTCCAACATTTTGGCTTTAGGGGCTATTTTCTTTGTTATTGTTTTTGTTTTCTTAACGGCTACTAGCCCCTTAACCCTTTGATCACGGAATGAACCTATTGTTCTTTTTTGTTCTCTTTACTGTTATATAGCCCCTAAACCCAAAATGTTTGCTCGGACAGCCGGACGGCCGGACAGCCGGATGGATGGCCGGACGGACAAGCTTATTCCAGTATACCTCCCTTACAACTTTGTTGTGCGGGGGTATAATAAAGTATTGAAAAAAAACATGAGACTGTGTTTTATTTGAGTTTTTTGAAACTGAATTAAGTGAGAAAAGGAGGAAATTGATGAGGAAAAAAGTGAAGAGGAAAATGTTAGTAAATAAATAGACTTTATCCCTTGACTCAACTTCAATATTACTTTTGACTCGTAGCAGTAAACATGGCTCTGTGGCAGGATTATTTAAAACCAATCCTAAACAGCGGCGGGCTTTGTCGGACCACAGAAAATGTGTCTAGTGGTAAAAACTTAGGGAAAATTCAACATCGGTATGCATAAAATTTTTACAAGATCATCCGATTATATGTACATTCTCAAAGTATGTGTGGTTGCAGGTATTTAAAAATGAAACTTGAAAAATATAAAACTGGCAAAAAGATGGCTTAAACTTTCCAGAAAATATACAACACATCAAATAAGTCGCCTTCTTAACTGTTACTGATAAAGGAAAGTTGATTGAATTCCTTAAAATGTGTTATTATTTTACAGTCTTGTATTTGCATTTTGTTTTCTGAAATTACTTAAATTGTCGGTCTATTAATCAAAACATACTACACAAACAAATATATTTTCAGGTCAAGAGTGTTAAGCCAGAGACGTCCTAGCTCTCATTAAGAAAACAGTAATTCACTACTTTCCTACCCAAAATGAAACAAAGGCGTCAGAAAGGGCCATTTTTAACGATAGACACGAGCACCTTCTACCGGTTTTACAAGATAAAAACTAAAAATTATAACCAAACGTATCATAGAACTATCGGAATGAGACCCGTCGATGTCATGGACAAAAATCAGTAACAGGTGAAATTATCAATATATTTTGCACAAAAATCTAAGCATGGAAAGGCGGTCAAACTGTTCAAATTTAAAATTTGCGCCTACGTCCGTACCAGTAATCTAAAAATGTTCCTCGAGAGGACAATCAAACATACTCCGGTGAAGTGTTTAAAGTTCATAAACGATATCACAGAGGCACATTTCCGATATACCAACTTCGAAATCTACAATACGAGGACATTAAAGTAACTTTATTTCATAGTGAACTCCAAAATATATTAAGCATTAATGCCGATCGAAAGTGGACTTTGTAGAAATTGTTAAGAAGCCGTGGCCCTGTCCGTAATAAACAATATTTTTTTGAAATGGAAATATTATCTGCGTTAATTTAACAGCTGGATAAATACAAGAGATAATGGTTTATTGTGCTGTTTACTTAATGCATGTTGTTAACATCTTTAAGTTATACTATCTCAGTCATACTTCTATGTGCATTAAGTATAACGCGTTGTTAAGCTATATCATTATTTGTAAATAAATGTAAATATAAACACAGACTTGTTTAATTTTTTAAACCCAATCACCTTGTCGCCTGCCGTTTTACCTTTCATAAATAAACTTAAATCCTGTGTAAAATAATTACAGTGTTGAACCACAGCAGGTAAACGTTCCGCTCCAGCTGTCAGTGTATTAGTATTAATGTTGACTATCATGTGGCTAGAGGTTAAATTAGAGGAAAACAGTAATGTTTGTTATCTGATTGTGCAATGAATAGTCGATCAGACTGAGTGTAAAATTTGTGAAAAATAAAGTAAAATGGTTTGCCTATTCAATACAAGCAGCCTTTTGTTGTTAAACAGAAACGTTTATCGTCATCAAAATAATAATAGGGTACCGATGTGTATCTTTCGATGTTAAGCTCAAGTGATAGTAAATTATTGGTAATAAGGTTAAATATTTGACATTTGGCATGTAGCATCAACTTAAGGTCTTCCACAAAAGGGCTATAAAACTATTCCCTGGGGTTTAAAACGCGGCCGCCTGAGATCATTCAGTTAATATAGACTTGTATCGGAAAATACATTTAATTCTCATATTTTATCAAACAACAGTTTCCAGAGTTTAGATATTTTAGATATCTGACATGTAACATTATCAAGTAGACCTTTACACAAGTTATTTACGTCATGCTTCTTGGGTAAAAATTTACCCACCGTTGGTACACATGCTAAGAGCTTGCGCATTTTACATTAGGCATCACTTTGTGGTTCTCTATTAATAAACATATATGCGGTTGTTTTATTAATTCAAAATGTCACCATTTTCGTATTTAAGAGATAAATTCGGCATAAGCCGGTGTTTTGGGGTCGTGAAGCACAGCTTGCACTTTCGTTTTTATCCAAACCAAGCGTAAAACATTTTCAATTTTAGGATTTTGGACAATCAGTAGAGTATTCTGTTGTACCGACTTATGGTATCTTGCATAAAAGTAAGAATAAATATCAACAAAACGCAGTCCACGACACTTTCCAGCCACACCAGTAGGTCACCCAGCACAGGAGGCACCAAGCAGAAAAAAAAGGAGAGGCAACAAGAGCAGTGAAAGGAAGGAAGAGACATGTAAAATGATAGTAACTGTAAGAGGCCAATATGGCAATGAAAAGGACAAGTGGTTTAAGGAAAGATGTTGATGGGGGAGGTCAGAGCACACAAATGAAAGAGGGGAATGGAAAAAAATACTTATCTTAAAGTATTATACTCATTAATTTTAAAATGTAAATAGTGAGTTAAATTAAAAAAAAAAAGAGTACCACAGTCGTTCTTTATTTAAGATAGTTTTTATATTTATCTTTAACATTTTTCATTTTCAATTATTGATCAATGATCATTATAATTAATCAATCTCTTGAAATATAATATCAATTGTATTCACCTTGAAAAGGAAAAGGTGAGCATAATGTCACTTTAACGACAATTTAACAAGATAGATAACAATAACTATCACAAAATAGACAAATATGTTTTTCGACTGTTATCACATTTTCCATTCCTTATCGTATATATAAATCGGTGTGAAAAGATGAATTAGACGTTTTAAAGTTCATTCCGTATGGTGAAAAGGCGATACTTTAGCATTTAATCATTCAAGCGCATTGTCCGGTATGTACCGGAATACGGTATTTAGTGTGGTGCTCCAATCCTTTTTTAAGTCTCCCTCTATCCGAAGACTGACGGAAAATATCAGTACAGGATGTTTAAATGCAGTATATTATTTTCGCAGGATTTGAGGAACTTGGGATAAATATATTGTGAGTCATGTAACCTTTAAGTAAACTATTTTATACTGAAATGAAATATGTAAAATATGAAACAATACATAAACGGAATACCAAGGACAATAACCAAAGTTTATAAATTGAAAACGAAAGTAGGTCAATTTATTAAACCCATCGGGCTAGAAGTCAGAAATGTTTACAAAAGAAAAGCAAACATGATAATTAATCAAATCGTTGTTAAACCTGTGAAATATTTGTTCTCGGGAGTAACATTTAAAAATGAATAAGAGTAGGATTATTTCTTTAAAAAAAACAAGTTAGCACACGTCCCAATGCGTATGACTTAATACCGGATATGATTCATATCCGCGGATATGACTTTAAACACCTGATATCACTAAACATACTAAAATATGTTATAAAATTCTCTAGGAGGTATATAAAGGTCATATAACGGTCATTTGTACCTCCTCAGCAGTCCTTAATGCCTCCTTAGCAGTCCTTAGCAGTCCTTACTAGTTGGTTACTTTCTACACATTACTAATATAAAATAATTTGTCATTGCAGGTGACCAGTTCCACAGGTAAGATATGCATGTGTTATGTTTGTTAAAGGATTAAACTATTAAATGTTGTTCTATGATATTATAATTAAAAATGTTCGTTATTTCACGTGCCCTGTATAATTGATAAAAGAAACAACTCAAAGATGATATTTTCGAAAGATTTGAAAAAAAATATTTCCTCATCTAAGCTTTCGTGATGGATGAGGTCATTATTTGAGTGAAGCCTGGGGCCTAGCATATTTTAATTTGCATGTTTTCCTAACTGCTACGCTCCTGTATCACTGTTCAAACAACCGTGAAACGCGCACCTGTTACCCGTATAAAACCACGCGTGAACCCAAAAATATCATTAAAAATAAAAGTTGCCATACAAGACAATAACACATAAAAGGGAGGGAACTTCCCAAAACTCCATAAATAACGTCATCAAACATTTGGAACAAAATATGCTAAGTCTCCGGCTTCACTCAAATAATGAACCTCATCCATCACTTAAGCATGGATGAGGGAACATTATTTTCCGTATAGCCTTCGGCCTACGCATATTTTAATTGGCATTTTTAAAGAATGTCAAACACATATTTTCATTGACCATATTAAAATAGACGTTATAATAAAAGAAAAAAAACTCAATATTACAGTACTTTACCATTTTAAATAACTGAACAGAGTCCAAGACAAACAGTTTTTTTATGAGAAAAATCCCTCATAAAGAAAACAATAATTATCATTTCATTTTTAAATAATTTCAAATAATTAATGTAGTCATGTTTAAAAACCAGCCCTCGTAAACGAAATATCATCATTCTTAGCCACTGGTCTTTGATAAAGTTTGAAAACTTTTACATCTGAATTCCAATCTGCAGTATTAAGAATATTCTTATTTGATCAGTTACGCATCAAGGCTGCAGAAGTTTTGATGCGAATGAGCATTGAAAATAAACACATCAATACCAATCAACTCTAAAACACATCTTAACCATCTAGCTAAAGTACTTGACTTTACAGCTTTAAAAAATCACATATGAAATAAAAAGTTGAGGACGTTACTCCTATATAATACTTTAAAGTATATAGAACACACAATTTTTCATCAGAAAATGTTTAAGCTTCAAATTACAAATCTTTCCCACCTTAGATGTTTTTAAAAATTTTGAAAAATAAAATATTGCAACACTGTCATACATATTCAAATTGTTCAAATCCAAACACATTAAAGTTTGTGTTCTTGGTGCTGTAGTTAAAGCTATTAAAGATATTAACTTAAACGATAAAACTTCCAAAGTAAGAGTTTCCAAAGGAAACCATGAAGATAATATATTTAGAACCACTGTCACATCACACGTAAACTTATATCTTGGTAAAGGTGATTTCTACACATAAATTCCTTTCATAAAACGCGATATCATAATTTGAGACGCACACCAATTATTACCTTAAGCCAACAATGTTTGTAATAACATTGACTTATGAGTTTTTATAACTAAATATGCCTTTTTGTCCTGGAACATGGAATATAAGTGGGAAATTACCGTTATCTCAGACGCTTGAATGGAATTTTTACCTCTCCTTTTACACCAATACCCATCGTGTCCATGCCAACGTGTACTGTGTTGATGAGCCTTCTTTCCAAGACTGTTAGATGACCTTTGCAATTTCTTGAGAAAACCCATGTTTCTGTAAGAATCTGCAGATAACTGCACTGTGACCATATTAATCTTCTTTCAAAGAGGATGAGTTGTTCCATCGAAAGGAAGACTCACCAAATCCCTGTGGCTTGGTAATCTAACAGGAATAGAAATAAACAAGTTGAAAACCAAAGGAAACCAAAATAATGATCTCCATAAAGGCATGGTTAAAATTGCTTTTTGCACTTTATCTTCAACCAATTTATTGACCATCTTTCCAATTAAATTAAATGGTGGAAATAAATAAGGATGATAATCTGACAAAGAAAGAGAAAACGCATCGTTTCTAAAACATCATTGTGCAGGAAAATAAGAAACTTTTTTTTTCTATACAAATTATTCTTGAAGCAAATAAATCAATATTAGGGCTTAAATATTCTAAGCATATTCTTTTGAAAATATCTTTTTTAACATCCATTCAGATGAACCATGAAAATTCCTAGAATAAAAATCAGAACCTTTCAAGTAAGAAGTATAAATGTTTCTATTTAAACATAAATACCAAATGTCAACAGCTGATTTATTTAAAAATAATTGACTCACCCTTGTATATAGATTTTAAACTGAGAAAAATGGCAAAAAGCTCTAAGTAATTAATTGGATTCTTTGCTTCAAACAAAGACCAACGTCCATTTACATATTTATCTAAATTGTGATCAAAGATAGACCAACAACTCAATGAAGTGTCATGTGGTCGATATTCGTGTTTTTTTATTTGTTATTTCGTTTTTATGTTTCATTTTGTCCTTGTATTTATATATATACATGTGAATCTCGTGTATGTTTCTCTACAGTCCGATATACATTCCATTATCCCATATTATACCTATATCATTCCATTTCATCATCTTTCCATTATAACAACTAATTTCTTATGTTTCATTTCGACATAATTTGCATGTCGGGGCTCCGTTTTTACAAACTTCCCGGAAATAACACCTCACGCATGCGCACATAAATATAAATATTTCTCTTGGTTTGCGCCAGGAATTGTCTTCGTATGTTGTATGTCCTTTACAGGTATAAGCAGCCATTCCCTATACGTAAAAGGACCGTACGACTGAAGGGAAAATTATTCACCATTATAACTCTTATGTACTCTCTTCACCTAACACAATTTGTTTATTGAAATTTTATCTTTACCTAAACCTAACACCATTTGTTTTTCCAAAACTCTATCATGCAAAGAGCCTCAAGTACTGCATAAAAAGCATTTATAATCAAACCAATAAAAGAGGCTTAACAAAACCAAAATTATAAGTTGTTTTGTAGACTCTGAAACAGACTTCTTTTCATTGATAGAATATCCCACTGACTTTAGTGAACTACAAATTATATTACTTTGTTGTTTTTACATAAAACTTTATCTTGATTCATATTAAGAGAATCATTAATATAATATGCACATCTAATACTTTGAGCTCTAAACCATGCATAAATAGGGTTAAAAAGCTTTGTAAACACTCTTGGAGCAGGGCTATATCAAAACGGAAGAAAAACAAAATGATACAAAACCTTTCGCCATGAAAATTTTATATATTTATAAAAACTTTCATGTATAGGAATGCAAAAATAAGCATCAGTTAAATCTGTATAAAAAAATCATGTTCTTGTATCAAATCCCGTACAACTTTAACATGATTTTGCTTAAAATGTTCATAATGACCAATTGATTGAATTCCGCCTTTCCTTGTCGATCTTGTTTATCATATTTTAGATTTAGAATAAGCCTTAACTTGCTTTTTGGTTTTTAACCACACAAATTCTCAAAATAAATTCATTTTCTTCATGACTAGACTTACAAATAGCCATTTTTGTAACAAATCCAGAAATTCTTCATCAAAAATCTTCATTGTATCATCATTAAATATATATTTTTTGGAACAAAAAAATGAACTGGTTCACTATTAATTTCTAACGAATAACCTTGAATACTATTTAAAATCCACGAATCATTGGTAAAGGGTTTCTACGCTTGTATTTGAAAGCTTTGCCAGAGACCCTTAGATTTCTTTTGAAACTCTGGCAATTCCCATTCAGAATCTGACTCATTCTTTTTATAATTGCCATAAAAAAGTTCATTTATCAATTTAGATGACATGTCCTTCCTAGAAGTACTCAGCCTTGGCCTTCTAAGGCCAATACTGTAAAGGTCTGAATCGGACTCATTATTCAATTCAACATGAATATTAGGGCCGTGTTGATATCAAACTTTTCATCATACTTGTCATCAGGGTAAAAATCCTGATATCCATCATAAGCAGGGTAATCTTGTACAGGTTGAGATCAACCTAATTTAGACTTTAACAATTCAAGATTACTGTCTGTTTAATTATTCAAATCCAACTGGACCATACACGTGTCTCTTTTTGTTTTTGCCCGTAGATTTACTTTTCTCCTTAGGGGCTTCTTTAGGGGCTTTACCCTTTTATGCATTTTTTTGGAACAAGAACTGACTTCAATTGCCTAGTTGAGGTTTTTGCTGTTTAATTCGGTTGTGCATCGTCGGATGTAAACCCTGAAAATTTCCAATCTGAATTCGGCTCATGTATAACGAAAACATTGTTCCCGGGCTCTATATACTATTAATATATACTAATATTGAAAATTTAAAATATTCAGCTTACTTGTAAGTGCAAAATATAGTATGGACCACGTCCTAGACGATTTTCACTGACTGTTTCCGAAAACAAAAATTTAAATAAAAGCCAAAGACTGTCCGAAAAAATGCCTGGACTACGTCCTAGTCAAAAGGAGCCAGCAAAAAAACTAATAACTATATAACAAGAACTCAAAACATGAAACTTTCAAACAGAATTTCAGTAGAAATAAAATTTATACCACTTGACACGAACAGCGACAACCAGAAAGCGTAGACGCTAGAAAAACTATGATTGTTTTGGGGTTGACGCGTGGTTTTATAAATGTAACAGGTGCGTGTTTCACGGTTGTTTGAACAGCCATACTGGAGCGTAGCAGTTAGGAAAACATGCCAATTAGAATATGCGACAGCTGAAGGCTTTACAGAAATTAATTTGGATAAATATCTTGTTAGTAATGTAACATTTAAGTAAATATGTTAACCGGAATTAAATGTATGCAATATGAAGCAAGATATAAACAATATGTCATGCACAATAACCAAAGTTTATGCATTGAAAACGAAAGAATGTCATTTTATAAAAAAATCATTCCTCTGCACTAAATCAGACTTTATACCGGATTCTGCCATTTATGAAACGAGCATAAAACTTTGCAAAAGATTTTTCTTTGTCTTCAGAAATTAAGCACATGTAAGGTGGATATTCTTATTGTTATCATTTTAAGTCCCTTCTTTGCCAGTTATCGAAATAGCAGCAAAAGGCATTGAGAATCGTTTCAATAACCCTTGTAGCCCTAATCTTCAAGAAATGCGATAAGCCAATAGGTCAGTACCTGCCAATTTTAGGCCATATTCCCTAGCATGTGTTTCGTGTAAGGTTATGGAACGCAAAGTTTCCTCTCCCATCGTTAAATACTTTTCTAACCATAACATCCTTTCCACCTCCAACATTATTTAGGACATTCAAGGTTGATATTCTTATTGTTACCATTTTAAGACCCTTGTTTACCAGCTATCCAAATAGCAGCAAAAGGGAATTTAGAATCGTCTCGGTTGTAAGTCCGTTAAGGTCGTCCCATTAGAAACCTGCACTTGTAGCCCCAATCTTCAAGAAATGGGATACGCCGACAGGTCAGTACCTGCCAATTATAGGCCAAATTCCCTAACATGTTTTTCGTGTAAGGTTATGGAACACATAGTTCCCCCTCTCATTGTTAAATACTTTTCAAACTATAACATCCTTTCCACCTCCAACATTATTTCAGGGAAAACTGTTATGTGTTTCACAACTTGTTATGCTGGTTGTTTTGATGAATCTCAGATGAGTGATTGAGGGCCAATATGAGCTACATGTTAAAGTAGCCACGGCTTAATTGTAAGACAGAGGTCACACTCCTTTTATTGACCAGCTTACAGGGCCTGTAACTGTTTGTGTTCATTTATATTTAAAATTTGGTTTCCTTGCATTCTTACAAAATGTATTGAACAATATTACCTTTTTTCTAGAAATCGGGATGGCACATGAGACACATTTAAAGAACAACAAATACCGACAGTTGGTCAAGGCAGACCTAGGCCTTCGCTATCTTCAAGAGGGACTTGCGCCATTTTGTGATGACATAGGAAGACAGCAGCACAAAGATATTATAAACCAAATACAACAAACAAAGACTCCTCAACCAAATGTACCATGCGTCGCCTGTCAGATAACAACTCTCCAGCCAGACCATGTCCGAGTCTCAAGAGGTATATGTCCCTTCAAGCAAGATAAATGCAACTGTTGCTTTCCAAATAATAAGAAACCCTGTCCAAACAACGTATGTGGTGCCATCTATGACAACATTATACAGAATCATGCATCAATGCCACCGGCACCTTTTTGGAGAAATAGTGATGCCCAACAGTGGTCAACAGACCCATGGAGCGTGTGTAAATGTTTTATAAATGCTCCTGGGTACAAGGCCATTACATCAGCAGCCGACACTGATATTACAGGGTTGCTACATCTTATCATAAATGACAAATATTTTCATAGTCATATTGGATGCAATGTTGCAGGAACTAACAATCTTTTTGCAAAGGTAACTCCATTTGTATACTATATGTTTATTTTTAATTTGTAGAACATTAAGATTTACTGTAAGATTTAACAGACTTAATTGAGTATAAAAGTAAAATGTTATTTGAGTATAAACGTAAGAGATTATTGTCACCTTAGTGCAGCAATTGGTTAACTCTTATTTTTATAGGAGTTATTAAATTACTGCACTTAGACGAAATTATTTCCATATAACTATGAGGTTAATGCAGTTATTGTGCCAGAGAAACAATTTGCAACAAATAAATAATGATGCAAAATTGTTACACATAAAATTGTATTCACAAATATTCTGTTGGCAATGCAATATTTTGGCTAGCTGTATATTTTTTTGGGTTGGAAACAATTTTTTTTTTTAATTTTAAGCTTCAATGTAAAATGTACAGAAGTAGGTAATTTGTGAATGTTTTATAAATGCTCCTGGATACAAGGAAATATCACCGGCAGCGGACACATCTTTTACAGGGTTACTACAGGTTACAATAAATAACAAATATTTTCATAATCATATTGGATGTAATGTTAGAGGACCAAACAATCTTTTTTCAAAGTTAAATCCATTTGTGTACTATTATTATGTACTTTTAATTCAGAAGATTTTGTTGTTTTTTCTCTAAGTGAAAAAATATATTCTTGATTACTCCACCACATTTATGCTGGCACATTTTGTTCAACCTTCGCAGTGCGGTTGTTAAAAAAGGGAGACTTTTGAGCTTCACTAAAAGATAACTGCTCTGTATATTCAGCATCAAAGCATAAACAACAATGTCTATTTAACTATAATTATAAAGTGATAAACCCCTATAACTATTTTCACAAACGTTTAATGATGTTACATAACTTTGAAATTACAGGAAAAACCGACAAGAAATTTTGTATGTAGTTAGATCTCATTTAGTTAAAGTGCAGTGCAAAAGGACTATAATTCTGCTTTCCCTGATTTTGGAGTTATTACACTCTCATCTTTAGATTTTTGTTATTCTCATTCCTGAACAATTATGTGTGAAAGTTAGTATTAGATATGTTTTACATTCAATAGGTACGACAGTTTAGAAATATGATTGTTCACTCTACAAGTATGGAATTAGAGGAACATGAGTTTAATACTTACATTGATGATATGATAAGTGTTTTACAAGATGGTATGGAACTAGTACACAGACAAGATGCACAGCAAGCAGTACTAAAACTTCAAGAAGTAAGTATACATAATAATTTATAACTTGAATTATAAGAAATCTTATAATTATTTAAAATAAGCACACTTTCACATTCATGCTAAAGGAAAATGAAGTGTGACTGAATTACAGAAAAAATTAAATATCAAAAGCCTTAAGCTATTAAATACTAATGAATTGAAATACAAACTTTAACTGCTGTTAACTTTTAGCAGCTACCGTAATTAATAAATCTTTTAGACTGAAGGTGGAAAGCTGTCCATATAGATATTTTCTGCTTTGTACCATACATGTTAAAGTGAATTGAAATTGAAAAATTATATAAATTGGGTGGATATATTCTATTCTCAGTTGTCGGAATTTGTTTCTGTTTTCTCCGTTTTCTGATCTTTATATTTCCTCTTTCAGAGGCTACATGTTTTTTTGCAAATTGAAAAAAAATCAGTACTGACAATAAGTGAACTTAATATCACACATCATATTTCAAAAATGTACTGTAATCTGTACCGAGCGAATGTAAAACGAATATATAATACTAATTTTGTGCTTCCTGACGTTTGCTTTGATACAAATGATTAAAAAATTATCATATATCTTAAACAATTAGCTTGCATAATCATTATCATTTGGGCATTAATTATGTAATGATATTTCAAACTTTTATTGAAAACAAGTATTGCAAATGTATGTTCTAATCTACCATACATTAAAATATATTGTCGCAATATTAACAAATAACGTAATAGTTAAGCAACAATTAAATAATCTCAGAAAATTATTATATTCATTCAAAACTAGATTTTAATAAAAATGTCTAAATGTTATAGTACTTTGAAAGTCTGCATAAATAGTTTGATAATTAAAACAAAAGAAACTTGTGATAATGTTAAAATTCAGTATTAACACGCACGCATGCATGCACGCACACATGCAGGCACGCACGTATGCACACATTATTATCAATCAAATAACGATTTTTCTTTCTTTAGCTTAAGGAGGATTTCGTTATAACTTCTGAAATCAAGGATGAAATGTCAGAAAATGTTGCTGCTGAAGAGGAACATGAGGAGCTTAAGGTATTTATGTATAAAACACGCTTATGGGTGTCTCACAAAGTATGTTGACAAATTATAGCCCTGAGTCAAAATTGGCGGAAACAATTTTCTTAGACTTGTAATATATTGTAAAATGAGTAAAAGTAGAGTTAAGTATGCAACCACGTTTGAGTGAATTTTATTTATGCATATAATTATGCTTCTAAAACGATTTTTAAACATCCAAGGATATGTAAAATATGAACTGCAAATGTTTTTAAACATTATATGTAATCATTACAAAATGTGCATGCATTTCTTATTGTCCCCGCCTTTTCGAAGAAAAGGGGGATATAGAAATAGGCTCCATCCTTCAGTCTTCTTTGTCTGTCCGTCTCTTCGTCCGTCACATCTTCGTGTCCGGTACATAACTTTGTCATTTATCAATGAAATTTGAAATAAATTGGCACAAATGTTTGTTTTAATAAGACGATGTGTCATTCACAACAACCAGACCTCTACCTCCAAGGTCAACATTTAAGGTCAACAATGTCTATTTGAGGGTATATGTCGTGTTCGGTCCATAACTTTCTTAGCTTTGAAGGAATTTTGTAAATACTTGCCACGATTGTTCACAATAATGAGATAATGTTTCATGCGCAACAACCAGTCACCTACCTCCAAGTCAAGGTCACACTTTGAGGTCAAAAATTAACATAGTCTGTTATAGGGTATATTTTGTGTCCGCACCATAACTTTTTCATAAATCAAAGAATATTGAAAATACTTGGCACAAATAGTCAAATAAATATGTCATGCGCAACACCTGTATCCCTACCTCCATGTTCAAGATCACACTTAGAGGACAAAAATTAACATAGTCTATAAAGGGTATATATTATGTCAGGTCTTTGACTTCTTATGATAGATCAATAGATTTTGAAATACTTGGCACAAATATTCACAATAATAAGATGACGTGTCATGCGCAACACCTTAACCCCTATCTCCAAAGTCAAAATCACACCTAGAGGTCAAAGATTACCATAGTCTGTTAACGAGTATATTTTGTGTCCGGTTTATAACTTCCTTATAGATCAAGGATTTTGTAAATACTTGGCACAAATGTTCACAATAATTAGATATTGTGTCACGTGCAATAACAAGTCGCCTACACTAAGGTCAAGGCACATATTAATATAGTATGTTATAGGGTACATTATGAGTTCGGACTTAAAAGGTCACACTTTCAATTAAAAGTATCATAGTCTGTGTTTTCGTATCCAGAGAATAACTTCAAAATTATTAGAGATAAATTTTGTATAGGATAATTGTTCCCTGCTGTTTGGTAGAAAAATGGGGGTGTAGGACTCCATATGCTGTCCCATCAAAGAATTTTGAAATAATTTAGTTAAAATGTTCTGTTTAGGCAAAATAAGACAACCTGTCTTACTCAACTGTTAGATGCTTTTGTACTAAAAGTCCTAATCCATACCTCAATCGTTTTGAAATTGCACGATTATATGCTTCATTTATTACTTCCATAACGGGGACGTTAGTTACTCTGTACCTCGTTCATTCCAACAGCTCTTACATGGCATAACTCTCTTTTATGTGGCTATAATAACAATATAAAAATCTTGCTTTGATTATTTCTAGTTCATATTTGAATATTTATTATGTAAACACCTTGTTAACACTCTAAAGGTTAATATTTTGGGTCAAATAAATTGGCAATTAGTCAGAAAGTTTGTTTAAATTATTTATGGATCAAGTTTGAATATGGGTGATCTGGGGATAGAATTTAGGCCAGACAGCTGGAAAACCTAGAGGTAACGTTTTTCATACCACCGCACAGCAAAGTTGTAAGGGGGTGTGGGTGTACTGGAATCCGTTTGTCCGTTCGGCTGTTTGGCCGTCGTTGGATTTTCATTGTCCGCCCAATGACATAAGAATCATTTGCCGCACATTCGGTATTGATATTAGCCATGGTTAATAGATGACCCTTTTCATTTTCAAAGGTCATTGTTATCGGGGCATTGACTTAAAACGCTTGTCCGCCCAATAACTTCTGAATCCTTTGACTCACAGTCTTCATTTTTGGCATGGAGATTAAACATGATTATTAAATGGCCCCTATTGATCTTGAGGTCACTGAGTCAAAGGGCAGGGATACGGTTTTTGACTAAAAGCGTGTCCGCTTGATTACTTATCATTCCTATAACCCACAGTTTCATATTTGGTTTGGACGTTAGTCATGACAATTAAATGACCCCTACTACTTTTGAAGTCACTAGGTTAAAGGTCAAGGTCATAGGGGCGCTTAGTTCAAAGCCTATCTACTCAAATGCTTTAGAATGTTTTGGTCAATAGTCTTCATACATTTGGTATTCAGGTTTGTTTTGACTAGTAGATGCCCCCTATTAATTTTAGGTCACTAGGTCTGAGGTCAATGCCAGAAGGCTAAACAATTATATAATTATGTTCTCATATATTCATCATAAAACACCCCAGGACAAAGCTGCATGAATTGGGGTGGGGCTTTTAAGTAATGACTTCGCATTTTCTGTTTTGAGGTCAGTAGGTCAAAGGTAAAAGTCACTTTGGAAATTGCTTCTTAAACAAGTAGAATGCATAAATGAGCAAGGCACTGGCTTACTTCCCTCAGATTTGGCAGGAAAGTTATCCTTGAGCTCTAAATGACCACTGTTGATTCTGAAAAAGCATTATGCAGGGTATTCACGCCATGACAGTGGCAGTTCTAGTCAGTCCAAATATCCTGCCAATTTGTCAATATAAGTTGTTCAGTTTAGGTTTAAAAAGGGTAATATTGGGTTAAAGCTACTGTCCCAACCAAAATGGGTCTAAAAACATCTACATATTTGTTTAAATTTTATTCAATATACATGGAAGTAACATTTGTATTTTCCGCGAAATAATGTGGCCAAACGATTATCTTTCACGTTACACAGATATACCAAATATACCAAGAATGTATTGGCATAAATGTCTACTACATCAAGGCGATACATCATGTCAACATTTTGAAGTTTCACTTCATCACAATAAGAGTTTATAGGTACACATATTCGTGTCCGGACTATAACTTTGTCATGCATTGACGGATTTTCAGAATAATTTGGCATAAATGTCTACCACATCAAGACGATGTGTCATGCTATCACAATTGGAGATTATATTCATTATTCATTTTATGGGTCTTACACACAACACGTCATCTTGATGTGGTAGACATTTGTGCCAAACTATTTTAAAACTCTTCTATGCATGACAAAGTTATAGTTCGGACCCGAATGTAAATTACTTTGTCTTTTGGAATCAAAAGCTCATAGGTCGAAGTTGTAT